CGCAACTTCATTCGCGTCGGCGGATGGCTCCTAGGAAAAGGCAAGATCAACGAACAACAGAGCAACTACTATTTCTGGAAAGGACTACCCAAGACGCTGCGAAACCAACTGGAGCGAAAGCTCTATGAACTCTACCCCACTGACATTGACGTTACAGTGCCTTTCAAGAAGGAACGCATCATCGCCGCTGCTGAAGTACTCTTCCCTAGGAATCGATTCGACATGGACGACTCTGACGACGAAGAAGATCTCGGCTTCCTCAAAAAGCGAACGCGCTCTAGAAAACCTCGCCTATTTGCAGGGTATAACGACGACGACGACTCAGAATCTGACACTCTAATAGAAGAATCAGATGACGAAGACCGCTGGCGATCTCACCACAAGACCAAGAAGAACAAGACCAAGGACACCATCGTGTCGGCATATCCACAGCAACTGGACAACAAGAAGCAGGAAGAAGTCGAACAGCTCATCACACAGCTCCACGGTATGTCTCTGAACGACCCAACTTACGCGGCTCTATATTACAGAGCAAAGAAGATCGACCCTGACATTGTCGGAGTCGTATCGGCCCCCTCGACTATGGTACAATCGACGCCTCAAGTTATGAACAGGAACTACAACTCGACTCCACCTATGCCGACTCAAGTTCAAGCACAGCCACCACCACCGCCGCCACAGCCTCAACCACAGCGACAGTATCAACAGCAATCACCCTCGACATTCCCCAACAATTTTAGGGCGACCCAATTCATGTGTTACGGATGCGGACAGGCAGGACACAGGATAGCAGTCTGTCCTGAACTCAAGCCCTACCGTGATCAGCACTACATCAAGACAGTTGACGGACGACTCGTGCAAGCTAACGGCGAACCCATACCTAGGAATCCAGGCGAACCTATGATCAAAACCATCGAGCGGATGTTCCCAAGGTCCAATATCACTGTGGTTCCAGAAGAACTCGACCAGATCTGGCTGAACAATGAACAGGAACAAGACGACGACGACGATGAAGTCACTGTCTATATGGCACGTGATGGATTGCGAAGCGGTACCAGACCCAAGGACAGCTCAAAAGCGAATCGGATTCCAGCGCACGACACCTCCTTCCCCAAAATGACCAACAAAGGATGGGTAGGCAAGCAGCGAAATCCTCCCAAGCCCGCGGATGCCCAGCCTCAACACACCCCAGTCGACGTCTTTGACAAGGCATTCAACTCGGACGACTCGGACGTCATTATGGAAGACCCTCAACTTGTGCCTGTCACTATACTCAAACGACCTTCGCCTACCACTCAGGAGAAGGACCGCGAAGCTCAGAAGTCTGGCAAACTGACATCTTTAAATTCTGAACAGGTCGATCACGACGCCATCTACAATCGGTTCCTCAACGCCAAGGTTGAACTTACTCAACAGGAACTCTGCGCTATCTCTCCAGAGATTTCCAGGCGGGTTGTCATGGATAACAAGCCTACCAGGTCTCAACTCAAGGAAAACAAGGAGCAAGAACCTACCGGACCTACCGTTGCAAGAATTGTTGGCGACAATGCACCAGCACCGAAGCTTCCATCGCGCATCACAGAAGTTCGCCAGAGTCTCATCAAGATCAATGCTGAAGTTAATGGCAACACTATACCTGCGGTCATCGACACCGGCTCTATGATCAACATCGTGCACAAGACCATCTGGGAACAATACATCAAACGACCTCTCAACAGATCTGTTACCTTCCCGGTAAAAGATGTCAATGGCGGAACAGGACGACTAATCGGCTTGGTTGGCGAAGTACCTATCGACTGTGGAAGAGCAAGGACGATCGCCCAATTATGGGTATCGGATTCTATTGACTTCCCTCTTTTGCTAGGGCGACCTTGGACATCCTCAAATTCAGTCGATATTATCGAACGGGACGGCACCTACCTCATATTCAACTACCCGGAACACAATGTGCAACTCGAACTCAAGGTCAGTACGGACTCGGACGACAATACTAATATTTCACAGACCATGGGCCTTACTACGGACAACGGACTTAGCGAAAATCGCGAACGCGCCGGGCCGGAACGTCACCGGTGGCGTGAGAAGCCGCCGCAAGACGCGCCTCACGTGCTCGCCACGCGACTACCGGTCATGGAGGAATGCGACGCTCAATCTTATCTCTCAGCAACACCGCCACCCCGACGCCCGACGACCGACACCGACAATCTATTCGACGACATCGCCGCTCCCTCGAACTCTCAGCTCGCCCACGCCCAGTCAAGAGGCGACTCTACGGACCTCGACGACGACAAATGCCAACGCATTCAAGCGTACATTGACACGGCCATCCGGTCGGGTCAAGGTACGCCTCATGCTCGTTCGGATTCTCCGGATCTGACCGCCGTTACTGACCATCATCAGTTCCTTCTAAATCTAGGAGATCCTTATCATGCCCGCCTCTTCTCTCGACCACTGCGCGGCGGGGAATGGACGCCCCTCGAAGACTCGATCGCCCATCTCCCAACGGGGATGCGCAGGCTACTAGGTACGTACGGCACCTTCGAAGTAACGCTCACCACCTCAGACAATAGGCGGATGCGCGTCCTCGTCACCTTGGCGCACCCTCGAACGGCTCCCGAACACACGCCCTCGCCAGATTTGGCCCGACTCCATCAAGAACCCACCGAAATAGATCACCGGCACGACCTCGACTTACCTCATGAAGCCTCATCCGGCAGGATTGACTCACGCGAACGCCTTCAAGCACCCGGCCCATCTGACAACAGCGATCCTCTCCATCGCTCGTCTTCCCCTCTCGACCCCCACCATGCTCACCGCGGCAGAATCGTCGAACTCGACGATGCCGGTGAGTACATCGGCAGCACTCAAACGCTATCCAACTCGAACATCTCTAGGCACCCGGAGCGTCCATTGCTCCCTAGGACAATAGCTGGCCGATCGCCGCCAGCGGACGCATCGATTCTCGAACCGACGATATCCACCACCACCAGCGACACCGACGAGCACCCACCAGTGGAAGCCCACCATGAATGCAACCCCGACTCGCGAACCGAAGAGACGCCCGCTACGCCTAGGTCTCGGCTTTGCGAGCGCGGACGATCGTCACCGGTACGTACCGTTGCAGAATCTTCGAGGACATCGGTGATTTACGATGTTTCCTTGAAGACTCAGTCGTTAGGTACGTGCCGGGCGAAAATTCGGAGCCGCTCGCAGCGAGACCGATGGGTAGAAACCCCGAACCTCGTACGCTCGACTCAAGACCCCGGACGACTCATCGAACACCTCAACGCAGCCGCTCTGTTTCGAGAAGAAGTACACCCGCCTGACGGATCGAATGCGGTATTGTACATCATCGTCGCGCCCTCTCCCTACGCTAACGAACCAGACGACTCTCCAGCCGACGGTAGCGGAACAAATACACCGGATCGGCTACAGGACGTACCTCCCGAAGATCCCCGCAGATGGCCGTCGTCCTTTCGACCAATGCTGGTGACCAGTATATTTTAAACTGGGTCTGAACCAGCCACACAACCATTATGTACAAGGCCCTGCTAGCAGAGTATAATACCCTAGGTGGATGGTGCAGGCAGACAATAGGTACAGGAGAATAATAGACAGGGTGGATACAGCCCTGCGTACAGGACTGAGCATAATACACTGGCTGGATACAGCCTCACGTACGGGACTGAGCATAATACACTGGCTGGATACGAGCCTCACGTACGGGACTGAGC